TTGTTGAAGCGGGCAACGTCATCGCTTAGTAGAGATCTCTCGAATCTCATTGTTCTGATTAGTCATTGATCCGTGGCTTCGTCCAAGCTATTCCCTCGAACAATATTTTAAACAAAAGCCACAAACTGGACTTTTCATTTCTCCATCTTGCCACCACTCCAAAGCGAGATGTTTGTTTCCATAAATTGCATTTCTCTAGCATACTGCAAGATTGCGGACGTCTGATCAGAGAAGATAGATAGATAGAGATAGATAGATAGATAGATAGAGAGAGAGAGAGAGAGAGAGAGAGAGAGAGAGAGAGAGAGGAAAATAAGCCACATCAACCTCCGATTACTTTTATTTCGAATAACAAATTGAATCACTCAATTCCTGAGTGAACATCTTAAATTTAACCCCTCAGTGATCCTTGACCGTGTCATTCTTAATCTGTTTTCCCCAGTCCGAGTAATTTCTCAACGATTCTACCCCATTTATCCGCGTCGCCTCTTACCTCCAGCCCGGCCTTCCCGCCATCAGACTCTGGCCACTGGCGACGACACTGCTGTATGTACCACTCGTTCGTCTCCGGCTCTCGTGGAAGGCCGGTGGTGGCGGTCGAATTTTTCACCCTCGAGGAGAAATGAAAAAGAGGGCTGGAGGGCCGGCGGAGGCGGCAGCGCGCGGAAGAGGGTGTGTTTAGCGGAAGACGAAGGGCTGCCGAGAGATCATTTGTACGCCCTTAAGAGAGCGCTAAAGAAGCCGGAGCCGCGTCGTTTCTATTAAGCCGACGAGGGTGCCGGAGCGCGCCAGTGCGCCGTGGCGGTGAGGATCGCAGAGTGGCGTGGCGGCATGCCATCGAGGCGTTGCGTGACCGTGGCGTGGCGTGGTGAGGGAGCGTCGCGTAGCGTGATGTGATGTGGTGTCCTGTCGAGTAGGGTTGTGAAGTGGCTAGACAGCGTAGTGGCGTGGAGGGTAGGGGCGTGGCGGCGTCCCAATGGCATCGCGCCTTGAAGCTTCAGCGAGGCGTGCCAAGCAAGCGCTTCGACGTAGAGTGGCGTGGAGTCACGTGGCAGCGTGGCGTAACGGTTAGACAACTTTGGTGGAGTAACGGTTAGCGTATCGGTCTGTTATATCCAAATTCGCGGGTTCATGCAGTGAAATTTGCGATGCCAAGGCTAAAAAGGTCTTCGAACGCCTTTTTTATAAAGGGAAGTAAACCCGACTGTTCCATGTTGTAGATTTACTATATAAAAAAGATCCTCATGGCTAAAAGAAATATCTGAGTTAATTCAAATCGTTTTGCAGCTCGAATGATACCTTGTTTTCCTGATAGACGATGAAAAAATCGTAGCGGAATTTGCGTGGTAAGGCGGAAGATCTTTTCTCACGACTCGAGCCTCGCCACGAAATATAAGGAATCATTGACTTGAATTTGAGCGTGCAGTGGCGGGCTGGCGTGGCGTGACATGGTGACGTGCGTGGCGACCTGACGAGGCTTTCCGACGCGCGGTGGATCGTGGGAGAGAGTCGTGGCTTTTTGACGAGCTGAGGGCGCCGTCGTCGTTGGCTGCCTTTACCTCCTGGAGTGGCTCTCTGGAGAGGCGGTCCTCGCCGCTGCTCAGGAAATCTCCCGCCGCACGTAGTCTCTTTAACGTCGAGATCCTTTAGCTTTCTTTCTTTAAGGGTTGAAGATTGTTTCTTGTAAGCACTATTATTATGTTGTTTTTGTTGAAGTGTATTGTTTTGTTACATTTTATATTTTAAAGAGACTTCATTAATTTATTTACCAGTAGGTATTTATGGAGTGTTTACTACTTTCACACAAGTATCAGGCCATGCGCGTTGCTAATTTCTTGAACTTACATTTACATATTATTGCGAATAAGTATACTTGGCGTTTCATTGATTAGCTTGAATTGTTTATGTAACCCAAAGCATAAGTATTTTAATACGAGGCGCATCCATAAAGTAAGTTTCCATACCTATTCAGCAAAAAACAATTAAGGAAAACTTTATTGTTGAAGTTACTGCATATGTTGCACAACTTTTTAGATAATCACAGCCGGAAATGAGATGATTGTCACTGTGACACGCGTAATGCTGACTGAAGTGTAAGCGTTGCAGGATGCTGAGTGTCTTTCTGCGCGTAAACACTTGGTCACTCACTCAGCTCGGCTCAGAACTGATCTTCTGCAGCAGTTCCGCTGGGCGGTGTTTGAATCGCTGGGAAGGGGGTGGTGGGCCGAAACTGGGTTGTAAGATAGAAACCTTATTAGTCCGATCTCGCCCCTCTAGCCCCAGCGATTTCATCTTTTCTTACACCCCAAGAAATTTCTTTCTGGAAAGCATTATGGTCACAATGATGCGGAGGTGCAGGTAACTATCAAACACTGGAACCTATGCTAGGAGGCTTTTACAACACAGGTGTAGAAATGTTGGTTCCACGGTATGATTAATGTCTCAGTGCTGGTGTTGATTTTGTGATAAAATAGTGCAATATATTCTGTACGTAATACAATAATATATTTTCCATTAAATTGTTTTTTCTTTTCATTGATTACCTAAGAAAAGTTACTTTCTCGATGCTCATCGGAAATACACTTATAAATATACTGTAAGCATTTTACAAATACAGAATATTCAACTCGTACATTATTCGATAGAAAAGCATACTGTTATCTTTAAAACTATTAGTATATTATTGTTATTAATTATCATTATTAGTAGTATTAGTATGAGCTTTTTTATATGCCTGAAACATCATCATCAGATCTGCCGTCTGGGAATCAGAATCCTGAACATAGACTGAAATATCATTGCCTTAGTATATAATTGTCAACAACGCTAAGTGGGCATACCAATATTATAAAGCTCACTCAAATTATGTAATCTACTTTGAAGGTAAGAATTTAGTGAGGAGAGGACAGAGACTTGCAAAGTCTAGTTTACTTTTATTGAAAATGTGTAACTGGGAAAATACCTTAAACACAACACAATACTCCATTTAAAGAAAAACGGTTTTTTCCTCTTATCATCCAATTGTGTCGTTACCCTTGGCATAGTGTTACATGCTAGCAATGCCCCAAGCTTTGTCCCATCAAACCGCTCTCCCTACGATAACTTAATTAATGCTAACAGTGCTACGTCTGAAAAGCACAATGTATTCATGGAGGATTTTTTTAGATGTTAGTCGTAATTTATTTCTTCTCTGTGTATGCATATTGCATTCGCGGTTCAGCTCATTGGCCAGGTGCTTGCTTTCCATGAAGCAATCTCGGGTTCGATTCGCGGTCGGGCAAGATTATACTGTCCGTTTCTTTGCAATGTCCCAGTATGAGTTGCTGTGGGACGATGAGAAAACTCACTTCTCAGGTTGAGATGATCAGAACACGTCATGGGGAAGACTTCGTGCTAACCCTCACGTCCCCCTTTAACCCACGGGCGCGTGGCCGGGACGCTGCTGGTAGGCCCTGGTTTGTTCGCGGGCTGTCGTGCCCAGTACAGACTGTATCCATATTATTTTACCTCCAATGCTTAGAGTAGTGGAAATGGTCTACATTCAACCATTGATTGTTAAGTTTAGTAGTAACAAAATTAATATTAAGCCTCTTTTCTTTTTTAATTAAGCGACGAACTAAATTCAGTTGAGAAAGCGTACGCTCGAGAAAACACGCATTCATAGGGTTAAGCTACTCCTGAATGAGAGTGTTTTTCTATATAAGTTTGAGTGAATGGATCTTACATTAAGCAATGCGTATATTTTCATTCCATGCTTTTACAATTTTCCAGTATTTTTTCTCTTTTGAAAGGAAATGTAAATTCTCTCTGTACACACCCTTCTCTGTCATTTTGGACATCCAGCCCGGAAAGAGAGGGAGCGGGCAGAAAAGAGAGCGAAGTTGACGCCTCGCGGACGCAGAGTTGGCGTCGAGAGCGTAATCTAGTTCACAGAAACATTTTCCAACTTAAATAACGACGAGGGCCCGCGAACATCTACCAAACAAGCAACTCGGTTTTGGTTGAAGCAAAATTACTTTTTAGCGAATCATGTGTAGAATATGTATTTAGAGCGTTTGCATATTACTTACCAGTGGAAATTAGTTTTGCTGTCGGATTTCTAAATACGGTATTGCGAATTGCGCGTTTCAGTTATTTCAGAGAACTATAAATAACGGGAGCGTAATGTGGTTTCGTGTATCTCGTTAACCTGTTGTGCACATTTGATGTGAAATTCAAGTTAATGACAAAAGAGAAAAATTCATTTAGAACATTATTGTATTATTTAAGAAGTTATTTGGAATAAATAATAAGAAATTTCTATTACCTGAATATACGAAAATGTTGACTTTTTTATCGTATTTTTCTTTTTTATCGTAGGGAAATTTTGTAATCAGGTTAAATACCTATACAGACGACTGGGGTTCAGACAATATAAATGTATAATATTGCAACTGCTAAAGCTTTTGTATACTTGCTTATTATATATGCAACGGGCATATTTTCCTACTTACTGGAAATAGGCGTAAAATTATTTGCGTTATTCACAATTTCATAAATTCATAATTTTTAAACTCTCTTTACCATAATATTTGAAATTCAAACGTATAGAAATTCCGTTTATTGAAGCGAAAGTTGATTACTCACACTTTTGAGTATGTAAAACGTTAACACGCACAGTCTTCCTTGTGTAATGAATATGACCATTCTCTGATGGTACAGTCCGTGGCCTTTGATTATCTAGTTTCAAAAACACTTTTAAAGAAAAGTGATAAGGCTTCAGTCCCCAACACCCCACAAGTTGACAATACATATTAAATATCCATTTTACTAATTTTCTTGTATCAACGAAAGTCATCAATATCTCTATCGAAACGTTACAAATAATTAAAATTTATTTTTATTATTTAATTTATAAATGTAGCATAAATGACACATCCTTCACAACAAAGCATTAATCTTCGACTGTACACTACACAAGTAGCGCCCGCGAATCATGCTTGCTCCACTGTGCAGGTGTAATGAATGACGGTCTAAACGATCTCCTGGTGTGTGTGTGTGTCGCAGGGACGTCGACGCCCATTCGGCACCTGTCGCTGCGCAGCCTGCTGCCGGACACGGAGCAGTACATGACGTACGAGGGCTCCACGACGCACCCGGGCTGCTGGGAGACCACCGTCTGGATCATCCTCAACAAGCCCATCTACATCACCAAGCAGGAGGTGAGCGCACGCCCATAGGCTTTCTTCAACACCATATTTAAATAATTTTAATTGTTTTTAGTTGTTGTTTACATTTAGGTCGACATACAGCAAATAAGACGTGTTTGAAGTTCACGCAAGCGTTTTGTAATACCGACATCTTATAGGGAAAAAAATATAAAAAATACCTTTCCTTAGACTACGAGTAAGTATTCATCCGCCGTCTTGAGCAACAACTCATTTATTTCGATTGTACATATGGATTGAAGGGCTGTTAAATCCTTAACGGACACCGGCCGGTAACAGTGGCTTTTCGTCCCTCTCTTTGGTTGCGTAAAGTCGGTATATTAGCGGAACATAATTACGGAAATATATTAAGGGTTCATATATAAAAAAGATATCCCTCACAAATTGGAGGTATAGTTGGCAAGAAAACATTTTGTAGTAAGGGTTTTCCTGGGTTACATCAAAATCACAACCGGGATCACCTACGAACTATAAATTGAACTACTTGAGCTATACATGGGCAACATAACTATACCTACAAATTGTATTATCAAGAAAGTAAAATTCTGAAAAAATGTGAAAAGTGAAATTCCAAAAAATAACACCGAGACCAAGAAAAAAGCGTTCAATAACGTGACAATTGTTTTCTTGTAAAACGTTTAATTACAGGGGAGAATTTTGCACGGAGCTGATAATGAAAGCATCAATTCTTTACTGTCAACATTTCGGATTTCATTAAGCCTTCCCCATGGCTATTTAAATTATAGCACATCCAGCATATCTCGTGGTGTGCGCGGACGAGTGTGCAAATTATCGGTGATTGCAGGAAATGCGGCACAATTAAATTGCCTCAGGGAGGCATAGTAAAACCCGAAGTGTTCGTATTTTAAAAAAGTGTTCCTTATGACCTACACTCAATATACTCTCCAATATTTAAGAATAAGTCAACAAAACTATTTTTAACTGTTTAATTTTTGTTATATTGTATATGGTAACTACTTATTGAATTTAATGAAATAAATTCACCCAACAGCAAATTCAAAGCAAACTTCTTACACACGGAAGTCAATTTACTAAAATGTTGGAAGTAAATTTTACTTTCCTAAATTGCAAATGAATCCATTAATTTGTATTTTTAAGTTCGTTAATAGAACTAAAATTCATTGTGTTATTTCCAGAATATATTAAAATTTCTTAATAAGTAATTTACTGAGAAGGAAAACAAGTTAATTATATGGAACCACATTTCCATTTAATTCAATTGGTATTGCCAAACTGAGAAATCGGTGAAGTTATATGTTTGAAAGTCAGGTGAATGATAACTCATCGCCTTAGTGCAAAGGTAGCGTGTTGAAATTTCACTCCGAAGGAGTGATACAGATACTTCGTTTTTGCTGAAAAATGTGTGAAAATAATATAATTAATAATAATAATAAATAATAATAAATGTTTCTAATATTAGGAGAAAACATAACAGCTAAGAAAGAAAGAAAGAGAGAGAGAGACGAGAGCGAAAGACAAGAGCGAGACAAGAGCGAGACAAATTTCAAATATGCATGGCTTCGAATATGAGTTTTCATGTATAAAACAAAGCTATGGCCACTACAATAATCCTTTTATATGGTATATTCCCTTAAGTTAATACTGGGTGTCTCAAAATGAATGTTACAAACTTTTGGGAGATGTAGGTGATTGGACATCTTCTGAAGCACATGTGTTCTAAAGGACGCGTTCTAACGTAATCAAGGTGGTTTCATATACCTGTGGTACACTTGTGCATAGAAGATAGCATAACTTTCAGGAGCAAATGTCACTTGTACAACTCCATTAAGTGAATTTCCACTATATGTTTACTGGCAAAAGTGATCATTCTCGACACTTCTATATGCCTTAGAAATTTGCAACATTTATTCAGAGATATCTTGTAAAAAGGGAACACTACATATATATGCAAGGTCTGAAGTTCATTCATAATTTACCCGACTTTCTAATACTTGATGTTAGAATAATCCATTTTGGAATTAAAAATACTCGTTGTCTTCGCTTTATCAACTGCAATATAATTACTTAAGCAAGGCCAACTTCAATTATATTGTGGTTGCATTTGAAAATGTGAAATAAACAATTGACGACAGGTATGCGTTCAATCCATTAACTTCAACATATTATTAAAATTCAATATTTATTTTATAAAATATGTTAATAAGAAACAATAATAACACATATGTCCACCACCTGTCCTATAAATAACAAACCAGAAAATGTGTAAAAATTCAAATTTCTTTCTAAACAAAAAGTATTAGCGTTTTAAATATTATGTTATTTTCATTTCAGAATACTTTTAGCGAAGGACTACGAATTGTCAAATTAAAATAATAAAATTTTGAATTCAAAAACAACTTTTGTATTACAAACAATTTAGTAAATTACATTCTCTCAGATCTGTGAGACCCCACCGGAGCTCTTGCACTGGTACTTTAACGAGCGCGCTTAGAGGTGAAGTGCTTGTTCGCGCTGTGTGCCCGGAGTGTCCAACGCGCGCGCTTTCTGTCGCAGCTGTACGCGCTGCGGAAGCTGAACCAGGGGTCGGCGGAGATGCCGAAGGCGCCGCTGGGGAACAACGCGCGGCCGCTGCAGCCGCTGCACCACCGCACCGTGCGCACCAACATCAAGTTCCGCTGGCAAGAGGTAGCGGCGACTGCGACGTCGGCCGCGCCGCCGGCGGCCTCGGCGGGCTGGCCGCGGCGCCGGCCGCCCGCGCCCCCCGCCCCACCACCACCACCCACCACCCCCGCGCCACCACCACCCGCGCGGCGCGCCGGCACCGCAATAAAACAGCCGCGCGTCCCCGGCCCCGCCCACGCCCACGCCCACGCCCCTGCACGCTCCACCTCGCCCCTGGCAACAGGCAGCGCCCGCGCCCCGCCTGCCCTTCCCGTCTCTAACCTGCCCTGCGCTACCCTAGCCTATACTGCCCACCCTGCCCTGCATTGCCCTGCCCTGCCTTGCCCTGCCCCATCTTGTCCTATCCTTCTCTAACCTGCCCTAATCTTCCCTACCCTGCCATTCTTTGCCCTACTCTGCCCTACCCTGATCTACTCTACCTTACCCTACCTTACCCTATCCTGCCCTACTCTTCCTTACCCTGCCCTACTCTGGCCTGTCCTGCCCTATCCTACCCTGCTCTGCCCTGCCTTACTCTGACTTACCCTGATCTACCCTTGCCTACCCTAACCTACCCTAACCTACCCTGCCTTAATCTGGCCTACCCTGCCCTGCCCTGCCCTGCTCTACTCTACCCTGCTCTACCCTGCTCTACCCTGCCCTACCCTGCCCTACCCTACCCCACCCTGCCACGACACGATCCGCTCCGCTTACCAAGAGATCGTAGAACGTGCATTTAAGCCTACTCAGTCACGCTACTTCACTCACAAGTTCTGCCTCGTTGACAAGCGGTTCAATGATATTTCCATTCCTTAATCTTTACACACGTTAAGCACTTGTGATGCGGTTAACACTATTATGCCACTAGGAAATTGAATGGGTATATCCCTTGTGCTACCTTACCCAATGCCTCTCCTCTGTGCAGTATAAGTAAAAAACGTAGTACGAGCGATGGGCCAGCTCCAACAATGTTTTTAATGTAAAGGATCTAGATTTGCAAGCCTTCAGTCTGCTAGTTTTCGTTAGTCAGTTCTGACTACATTTCAAGTACAAGATCGTATTGCAGTTAACAATATTACAGGTATAAGAGCGTTGGAAATTGGTGATAAATTCCCGACTCGCAGATTTTGCTGAGACGATTGACAAGGCATGAGTAACAAGGCACGAGTGACAAGGCACGAGTGACAAGGCACGAGTGACAAGGCACGAGTGACAAGGCACGAGTGACATTTAATAAGACTATTCAAATGCATGAAATTTCGTCCAACGGATATTGAAAATGCGCCAGAAATTGAATATAACTGAAAGTATGTTAAAATCAAAGAGGATATGTTATAGTACATACGCGATATATTACACATCAGTATAGAGATTGATACATACCGCCTCCCAAGATAAATGAGTCGCAGATTGTCCGGCAGGCGAGGGGCGGTAAGAAAAATCGGACAGAAAACGCAATAAGTGAAGTAGGTACAATTGTCTTATCTTTCCAAATGTCTCTCTCCATTGTGCATGTGCTAAACGTTTAACGTACGCCAGGCCTGTCCAAGCTCTCAATTTCACCGCAAGGGATCTGTCTCGTTCCCGAGTACTTCAATGAGCTCAAAGGGCTGCAAGAATGTTCTCGGTCCGGGTGCAACCGTGTAGATGGCTGCTTTGCTGATGTTCCGACAGTCAGTGATCTTTCAGTGCTGAATGGCCGAAGAAATTCCCCGAAAGGTGATCGAATCGTCAGCAACACTGTGTTTAATGCGTCACTCGGGCAGCCAAGAGCATTCTGATGGGGTTGGCTGCGGAATCTTACGACTTCAAATCAGAATGCTAGTTTTATTTCTTCGGCCCCGTACACACATGTTAACATGTGACCATACTAAGGGGTGCAGAAAATATCATCCTAGCTCACATACCTAGTGTCATTGTAAGAAAGATGTCTCGTTTCCGAGCACTCGCTCACAACTGAGCTGACAGAGCTTCTTTTGATTCTTCATATCTTTTAACAGAGGGAAAGCAGAATATGATTCAAATGTCAGTAACGCACAAATACAGTCTTATAGTACTTGATAACTTCGCGCTGCTCTAACCCATCGCCTACTTATCTGAGTCACTAAACATGTAGCACATACGGATGTCAAGCACATAGAAATGTAATAAAAATTGTACCTTTATTTCCTACCTCGTCCCAGTACATTCAGAACTCTACTCTACATTCAGAACTCGCTACTTCCCTGCTGCCTGATTCCTGAACTCTTGAAAAGTAGAGTAATCACTAGTAATACTCGTAGATTATGAGTAAGTAGGATAGAAAGTGATCTATTTTTGTCGTTTTATTATTATTTTTTTATTAACCCCGTTTCCCAAGCATAACTCGCATGCTCTATAGTCGTCTTTTGTGAATGCTATGTCTTTAGACCTTATATTCTCGGATATTAAACGTATATGGGTACAATTTTACATAACCAATAGGTTTGATACCTTGGTGAAGTCGTTTCGAAAGTCTCCTCGGAAACCCAATTCGTTCACAAGGGAGAACCATCACATACCCTACCGTCTAATCTCGGCCCATTCTGGCTTTGCCAACCTTATTGTATTCGCGTTCAAATTAAAATTTCAAAATTAAGCATACCCTTAAAAATATAACTATTTATTATTCTGCCTCCTAACATACGATTCTTTATATCTACTTACCGTACAAAGTGATCCAGTGCGACGAAGAAGAACAACACATGTAACTGCAACTCGTTTCACAGACCGTCCCCATATTTTGTGCTCACATCGAAATACAATAGTCAAGCAACCAATGACGTCATTGCTGTTGGAAGCGTAATACTCGGAACAAGGAGACTATAAAATACGATAAATTTTTCGCAGATCAAGGCAACCCAATACTCAAGCCACATTAATCTTGAGTAGTTGCAAGTTGTGTTATCATAATGAAAGTATAATTCGCCTATTTTTAATGAAGACTTTTTGATGTCTTATAGTTATTTGACTAGTGTCGAATGTATACAGAAAATAAACGTGTTTTTACGACTGTAGTATATGTTACGACCACAATATATATTTAGTGAATTTTATAAACAATATGGGTTCATATATTTTTTAAACACAAAATCAGCTCCGTACTAATAGTTGTAATAGAGGCGTGATATCTGAAAACAACAATATTTAGCCGAATAGTTATGTTTATCATTGGCATTTATATTTGTCAATACTATTATCGGATCGTATTAGTGACATCGAGAATATAAGATTATACCCAATACAATGATGATCGATTTAAGATACCAAAATATCAAACATAACTACGTTCATATTATGGAATTAATTTGTACAAAAAAATAGCTAGTTCAGCTGTTAAATAGAATAAATTCCATCAGATTATAGTTTATATATGCTAATAGCAAATATGACCAGCAGTCAATAATATGTGAGTTTATCATCTGACACTAATCAGCTCATAATTTATTATTGGAAATTACACCAGTTTGAATGTACAAAGGAAATTGGAAAAAATTCTGTTTCAGAACTCCCAGTACAGGGAAGCACATAATTCCGAGAATAACTTGGCCACGCTCTGATCAATCTATTCTAATCCATTAGTTGCGGTACGCTTGGTATTCTCGCCGTCACGTGCCAACGTAAGCGCCTATTCCACCCCCTCCCCCACTCCGCGCGCCATTTCCCACACGCGGGAGGTAACTCCCCAAGCAAAGAGCGGGCGCCCGCTCCCATCCGGCGCAACGCGGCGCGGCGCTCGCTCTCCAGCCCGTGCGGAACGGATACCGATACGCCTGCCGGCTCCCCAGCCCCCAGCGCCCCGCCCCGGCCCCGCACCAAGCCCTGCCCCGCTCGCGCCAAGCCCGCCACGACACCCACCGCGCGCCCGTTGAGCTAATTGAATTCCCTCGCTCTCCCTCCCTCCGGCGCCGGCACTCTCTCTCTCTCCTCTCACCACGCCCCAAGCACCCTCTCTGCTTCAGCGCCCCTCGCGGCGCCCGCCCGGCCAACATACGCCCTCCGCATGCCCTCGCTCCACCGCGCCGGCCGCCCCGGCCGGGGGCCACGTGATCAGGGTTTAATGTACACTCCCGCAGGGGCGCCAACCTGATTTACCTTTTAACTTAATTTCTTTGGGCTCTCCTCGGGTCGGCCGGCGCGGCCTCGGGGGCCCAACGGCGCGGCTGCCGCAGCGCGGCGTTGCGGGGTGAGGGGCGTGGGGGGAGGGGAGGGGAGGGAAAAAATAACGCGGCTGCTGCGATGAGAGGAAAACATCGTCCTGAGAGTGGGAAACTCGCGCGTTGCCCGAGGGCGATGGGGCCCCGCGGTGCCGAGAAGGTTTAAGTTGAGAGTACAATGATTCACTCTTAACTCGTCGCAACCGGACTCGCTCCGCAGTTTGAAACGCACACAGTCCCTCGATGGAATTAGCCGGCCTGGTAGGGGAAGTCGCATTTTATTTCGGTGGCGTTCGTGGAATTTTGAACGGCAGAGATCCTTCTTTGCTGCTAAAAACGAGATGACTTCCAGGATAAGATTTAATTTATTTTCCTAACAGTTGCCTGTCAAAAAGGGTGTTGAAGTTGCCACAGCGTAAACTCTGAAAAATTGAGAGGACGCCTTGGAAAGAGTTGCGCAATTGTTCACCTCCATATGTCTTCTTTAATACTGAGTAATTTTTGTCTAATTTTATCAGTGGGACCTATTTGTTATGTCCTTTTTTCTCTGTGAATCCAACGTAAATCTTAAAGCTTTACACAAACACCAGGCAAAGCTGGTCTTAATTTGTCATGCACTTTCAACTCCCATTCATTTTATTCCATAAAAGTGGTCTTTCCATCTGAATTATTGTCCGTACTAATAGAAACATCTTTATATATTGAAAAACAACAACTTTAATTTTACTTCGAAACATATGGCCAAACAACTAGATTTTGTGTAACGTGTAAACTGTGAATTTCTTCACACTCTTATGATGAAAACTTCCATTAAAAGGAACTTTAAACCATAGCATCTCGTTACAGCCACATACTTAAACTCTTTCGAGTTCAACTACATGGTTGAAGGGTAATTTCTGCTGTTTGAAGAGATTTATTCAAACCATATTTTCTCCCAGAAAATCTAAAAATAGCAGTGCAGTATTCAGTTCATGAATTTCAAAAGAATTTCATATAAATATATTCAAAAATATTCTTAAAATCAAACCATTTGATCGCTACATGTAGCAGTCATCAATCATTTCTTGTTCATGTTCCCTCTTTTTCTATCAACAATTTCTTCCGTGTAACTCATCATCACACGAAACACACTTTCGAGAATTCCACATGCATAGCTTCACCGACGCGTCAAGGTAGTTCGAGAACATTTTCGACACTTCTTGATATACAATCGATTCATTTCACATTCGTCAAAACAAATCGCCTCTCCGACAGGTCCAGCTCTCATAAAACCTCTCCCCCCTCCCCATCCTCCCACATTTCAGACCAGTTCAAATTCACAGCACCACATTCCTACCAGGTTTATTCCTCGCGCTCGTAACATTCCAAACGAGCTTCCTCCGCGTTTTTTCTCTCCCTCTTTCCTCCCCGCCCCCCCCCCTGCCCCCGGCACAAAACCCGTGCCTCACCCCATTCCGCGCGCCTCCGCCGGCCTATCGCGGTCGCGGCAACGCAGGAAGGCAAAAACAGCGCCGCGACGCAGCGCCAGGAAGGCGGATGGGCAGGGGCGGGGGAGGGGAGGGGGCGCGGTATGAAAGCGGGCAAACGAATCCTGTTAAGAGCGGAAATGAGAAAAGATCCGCGCAGGCGCATTAGCAGCGGTAATGTCCGCGCAGCTGCCATCTGCGCGCCACCGTCGCCGCTACCGCCGCCGCCGCCTCCGCTGCCATCCCTAGTCGGGTTGTCGCCTCGCACCACCGCCTTCCCGCAGCTCTGCAAGCGCCGAAGCTTCCGCTACCACTGTAGCCGTCTCACCACTCCTGCCACCAGTGTTCGTCCGGCCCTTCATCTTTCCCACCAGGCTACCTTTGCTTCCTGCTAACCGTCAACCGAATCTGCTACCCTAATTATACTATGCATATATTTCTATGAGCACTCTTCCGCAATCTATCAGCACAATCGGCGGCGCGCTTCACGAAACTCTTTCGCCACTTTTCACTCTTAGGCATCGCCACCCCAATCACCACCACTTGCAGCAGCGCCATCTCCAGTGCTGCTTCCGCCGCACCCTCCGTCGCCACCTTGGCGAGTGTTTCCGGCGAGGAGATAAGTCGAGAGCCAAACGATGATATACTTCGACGACGACGCAGGAAAGTGAGGAGGGTGGGAGACGGGTGCGAAAATACATTCCGAACATGATTTACCTTCCATTAAGTTAAAAGCAATCGCTGATATTAACGCGGCGCGGCGCCGACTAGCGTCTGCATTCTGTAGCGTTCGCGCAGTAGAAATGTTCGGGGAGGGGTGGCAGCTGGTACGAAATGCCAGACATTTAACCTTCCACATCCGAAATGATCTACGTCTGCAGAATATGAAGTGTTCTAAGGGACACAGACATTAATTTGTTGTTGTTTTTTTCTTTTTTCACATAACTTCGTAATAATAGTTGTTTTAAATATATATTTCTATTTCTCAGCTATATTTCTATTTCTCAAACTAAATTGTGATAATTTAATACGATTAATCTCTACTAAAGAATCCAAATTCATGTGAATATACTATAAGAAATTAAAACAAATAAGTTGTTTCCGCCGCCTATATCGCACATTTATTCCTCCCACTTAGGTTAATAATTTAATGGGTACACGATCTCAATCATTATTGTTAAGAACATTTACAATTATAACACTAGTTGGTCACTACACTCACGGTTCAGCATTACTTAGTTATGTGAATCTATGATATCTAGTTTTCGCTTTCCCGTCATTACGATCATTTGCAAAGTTTCAGATGCAATACATCCCATATTTGAGTTTTTCACACGCCTTACCACTAAGTTAGTGTTAGTGTTAGTGCTAGTGCTAGTGCACTTGTAGTGCATATCCTTAATTCTGGTGCTAATTTGTAACGTTATATTACAAATTGGGAGTTACAAATTCGTGGAATTTGAAGGTGTTTTACATCTTGTGCGCTCGCTCTAAAATACTTCTTCGCAGTTTTGGGAGTGATTTCTTCATTTGAATCTATAGTAAACTCTGTAGGGACTACTTTTCAAACCCGACAGGCGTAGGTATGAAAATAACTTTTTAATTTTGAATGCATCCTTCAATTATAAAACATATTTGTTCATTTTAATTAAGTTTCACTTCACTCAAATTCTTCATTAAGCTCGCAGTGCGAATTCATTTCTTTCTTTGGCGACGTTTTCTGGAAAGGAGAAACAACCCCACTCGGATTTCTTAAGCCATCTGCGTTTCCGCCGAAGAAAATGTGACGGCGCAATTTCGGCGCAGGTGCGAACTGGCCGCCGTTCCGACCTCACGCCTCGTTCGCCGCCTTGTCGTCGCCTCCGCCTAATCCCCGCCCCTGCGATCCCCCACCCCGCGTCACCACCCCAGCGAGACCCGCAGTCCCCGACCCTCGCGTGTTATCGGGGCTAAAAGATATCGATTTCCAATAACAGCGAGCCGTGTAACAGGTATGCCATTATTTCATTCAGCACCTTGATAACAAAAGCCTATACCCGATATAGAAAGCCACAGCTTACCTCCATCTACCATTGGAATCGGAAAGCTTGTGTTATAGGTTTTTTAATTCCGTAATGATTTCTCCGCCCGTTGATATGTGCAGATACGAAACTCACTCTGCTGCCGCCGGCCCCTCCCCATTTCCCCTTACATTCCCCCACTCCTCTCTACAACCGGTCTTCTACCCCGTTCCCTTCTCTTCGCCACGCCTCCGGCCGGCAGCCGGTGGCCGAGAGTTGGCTTTCTTTGTATCGTTTATTGGTCCCTCGATTCAACCTTTTCACGTCGTACATATTTTTCTACTTTGTGGAACATTTTGATGGGAGGTAACAAAAGACTGTGGACCCTTTTTATCCGCTGCAGGGGCTTAAAGTAAACCGCGTTAAAGAGAGACAATTCTGGTTCGCAATTTATGTATAGTGAATGCAAAAACTTTAAAAGATTTTTAAAATGATAATTTCTAATGTTACTCGTTTCCTAAAATATAAAACCAAAATTTCCTTACTTTTCATATGTATTGCAAAGTTTTTACCTTTAGAAAATAAAAATTTTACATTAATCTATAAAAGTTATCGTGCAATCAAATTAGTTGACAAAATTAAAACAGTTCAAAAATTTCCATGAGCGGTTAGAGTGGTTATTCGTCTCCAAAACTAGTCTTTCACCAGGCAAGCAGAGAAAAGACAGTTAAAGTTGTCCATTACACAGACATACACGCTCTTCCGTGCAAGCAAACGTACATAAGCTACAAATAGAATGAAATATTTCCTTTTTTCCGGAACGATGACCTGGGAAGGCTCCTGCACTCTTAGTCACGAATCGCGTAAACTTCAAACGAGAATAATTCTGATTTATCGCTTCGTGCTCTTCGAGCATAAAGCAAACTCGCAATCTAACAAAGAGCGGACCACGTACTCACCAAATTAGTCAAAGGAGATAAAAAGAAAGTTCCCTTCGTCTGCTCTCTCGCGTCCTAGCGGATCGGGGAAGTGGTTGAAAAAAAAACTGAAATTCAAAAGCTGGTTTTCGTCCATATTTACGACCCAAGTCGTACTTCTTTCCCATTTCCATACACTTTACCTTAAGCTTTAAATACATTGACCAATCATTTTGCAAGAGAAGTATGCACGCAAACATACAGGATTTCAATGCTTTAGTGTTTAGTCAGTCAGAAATTGTTCCTAAATAATTTCTTCCTCCTTCTGAACTTGAATGAAAGTTTCATGACAGTATAGCATTATGAAAATTTTAACTATTCTTAAGTTGTCGAATTTCTCAATTCGGGACATAATACCTTTGAATAATGCATGTTTATTAAATAAATATAACCAATCATTCACCATGAAATCTTAATTGTATAAATGTTTTGTTTTCTGATTTTTTATTGATATCGCCGACAAATCTCTTATTCTAACAGCATGATACCTTGTCACAAGTAAAGCCCCACAATCTTCGATATTCCATAGAATTATAATTAACTCTTAACTCGGCTGATGGCGGAAAACAATAACATTGGATATTAGTTTTTCTTCATATCATTTCCTTACATATTTGGGAAATCTTTCATTAACTGAAAAATACAGAACTTAGCATGACTTACCCTTTCACACAAAAACCATAAACATAAACAGTCTCTCCAAAGATTGAATGTCGAGGATACCAAACAGATAAGTAAACGGAAAATGTTTTTATACTAAATCCTGGATACGGTAATTTAGATATTGAGTATTAAAATGTTCTGAACAGAAAACACTTAAAATAGAAACTTACAAAAGATTTATGTTTTTATCAAAGAAACTTAATAAATACAATAATTTAATCAGGGGGCAGACAAATAATATATGATCATGGAGGAAGTTCGTATTTTTATTAAATGGGGTATATAAAGCATTCAAAAGTGTGATCACAATCTAAGCATACTCTTCGGGAAAGTAAAACATAAAATACCTGAGGTATGAGTTTCATGGAATATTGAAAATATTTAACAACCGATAAAGACAGAGAAAAAGAAGTGTATTGCGCAAGTGTCCTCCAGCCCGAACTGCATCACCACGGTAACTAGGTGAATCCCAGAGGAGTACCGTACATGTCGGAATACCAGCCAAAAGTTTACGGCTTGTCCCGGCTGTAAATGTGCTCCATTGGTGAGAGATACCTAGATGGTGGAAACACCGCAAGCCGACGTGTAGGTGATGATGAACTGATTACCCAGCATGGAAAGAACATGGTCACCTCCTATGATTAAAAACATACTCTACATATAGGCACTAATGGCCATAGTAGTTGACGCGCCAAGAAACGTTAAAAAGTAAACCAATAATCTATTGAGGTCTAAACAGAATAGGAGGCTCTAAAAGAGCAGGCTCGCCTCTGCGACCTCGGTGAGCTGCAATGAAGACGAACACGCAATATACTGCGCAGCGAGGTCTTGACAAAGAAATTGACCAAATAAAAGGGCGGCGCAGCTCGGTACGGCGTCCAGCGGCGTCGGCGGCGAGGTCATCACGGGTCGCGGTTCTCCGGGCGGCACGGCGGCGTGCGCTGGGCGCCCAGCAAATTAATTCCGGTCTCCTTCCCTCCTCCCCGCCTCCCTTCTCTCTCACGTGCTGACGCGCTATCTCGACGCCCCGCCTACCCCGCCCCGGGGCTTCCCGCCATCGCTGCGGCCGGCCCCGCCGCCCCCGTCCCCGCGCGCCGCCACTCTGCCACCGCCCCCGCCCCCCCGCCACCTCCACCCCCCTGCCCCCGCCCGCCCCCGCCGCTCCTGTTCCCGTTGCCCCCATCACCGCTATCCACAACTCCCACAACCGCGCGTCCCTATCGCTCCTTACCGCCCGCCGTTGCCCCACGTCTACGACCGTTCCCACTACCCCGACTACCTTCCCCCACCGTTCCCCCGGCCGCCCCGCTCCCACGTGCAAAAACCCCCCGGGCACCCACCGTCCCACCCACCCCTGTTCCGTGCCTCCACCATCGCTGCCACGGCCGCCCCAGCCGTTCCCATCGCCCATACTGCCGCCGATGCCTCCGCAGCTACGACCACCCTCACTGCCCCGACTACCGCCCCCACCGCCCCTGCCGGCCCGCCACCACGGCTCTTTCGCTCGCCCCCGTTTTCGCGCCCCGAGCGCTTCGATGTGCGGCTCCGCGACCCCAAGGCTGCTGCGCGCTTTGCGCGGCGGTCGGTCGCGAGCCTTTGATTCCCTCTCCCGGCAGAGGTTCTCCGCCTGCGCGTGAGCGTAATTTCGCCTTCGCGCCCACGTGCGCGTTGCGCGCAAATTACGGGGCCGCTGATAGTTCAAAAGATGAGAACGTCAGTTAATTTGACGTGTACACTTTTTTAACATTTAAAAAATGTTGAATGGGTAATTTTATCTTGAGGCCGTAATACTGATGTACTCAGTTTTTTTATGGACTCCAAGTTAGTACATCTCTTGGTGAAGGGTTGCCATTCGTAGCTTTCTGGCCAATTCCCTCAAATGTCTTCCTCTGGGCCAAAAATTAACGAATCTTCCAATTTCATAAACATGCAACTTAGATTATATATATTTTTAACTATTTAGAAAACGACCGATTCTCATTGCATTATTTATTCAATAAAAAGGCCAATCGGTATTTCAATACCAAAATTTGCGCAAATTTACATATATGGCCCACAATTCAGCACACACACAATCACTAACTTCACGGTAACTAAGTAAAACACCTTACGTAACTCATTCATAACCTTGAAATTTTGCTTGTAGCTCTTACAGCATAACCCTCCACCGCCATGGCTGTTACTGCCATAAGTGTAGGTTTTTCCATTTTCTATATTTCATGATCCATCGCCTTCTCCAAAGTCACTGTTATCATCACTATTTTTCTATATTGCTTCCGCGTGCGTCATAGCCGCAATGGCTGACGCCACTCCCGTCTGCCATCTGGGTTGCTACTATCGCAGGCCGCGCGTGCCACTAATCTTCGGCTCTTGATTCCGCATGCGCCGCCATCGCCTCGCTCCCCCACACGTCCCTCCTATGCCCCCGATCACGGGGTCACCAGCCTTCCTTGATTACTCCCTTCTTCGCTGCTCTCTCCTTTGCACCTTCGGTTCTGCCATTGTTTCCCATTCCGCTTTCACCAACCTTCGTGCTCTGCCCTATCTTTTCCACTTTTTTCTGATTTTTATCCGTTTGCAACTTTGCGGCTGCTATCGCCTTCAATTGAGGAGCCACCAACCTTCGAGCTTTTTCAATTCCTTTCTTGTATTTTCTCCGTCACCATTTTTTCGTCTGCCATCATCTTGTCTTCAGCAGTCGGCAAACCTTCGTCCGTTGCCCCATCTCTCTGTCCTTTCTTCTAATCTGTTCTTTCTTGCGCCTGCCAACGCCGACGCATCCCATCGTGCATCGCCCCTAGCCGCTCTTCCTTCCTGCCCTCGGTTCCGCCTGCGTCATCGCCGTCCCTGCAGCCAGCCCTCCCGGCATCGGCCTCTCGGCGCCGCGCGCCGGGCACAGCGCCGCGTTATCAGCGGCTCGGAAAGGCGCCTTATCGTTGCGGGTCAGCGCCGCGGAACCGCACAGATAGCGGCGCGCGGTCGCCGGGGAACGGCAATAATGGCGGCGGGGACGGCGGCTGCGGGATTGGAAGAGGCGATGACCGCGAGCGCAGCGGCGGGAACACTCGTAGCACAACCCAGAGACAACTGAAGCTACGCGCTGCGCGACCGTTCCTTGCAAAAATAGAAAGGAAGAACAAAGAATGCCTGAGGGCTGACTGTAAATTAATTACCTAGGCGGTCATTTTCTCTGATATTATTAGTTTCTCTCAAAATTATACTGCGACTTTCGCAACTCTGCCCCTAGCAGGTATCAGCTGTTGACAGTTTCGCCCAATCAGGGGCTGGAACGTCACCATGGTGACGTCACTATGGTGACGTTCAAGCTCCCGATTGGATAAAACCATCAACAGCTGATACCTGTCAGGAGTGTTGCATTAACCGCAGCCTAGTGTCTGTATTTTACTGTAATTTTAACAGTAAAATAGTCCGTGAAAAAGATCTTGAGGCACTCAAATAATGCAGCTTAAATGAGTTGATGGTATTGTGATAGCGTTAATGCATGGCTACGATGGGTCTGGGTTCTCGCATTTATTTTTTGTTTTATTTTTCTAGAGGTGCCGTTCCCAAAAACCAGTTACCGCGACCAAACGACCAGACACTCCCTCCGCTAGGCTGCGCCACTGCAGTAACGATCAGGCTTTAGAGAGGACGGGGGTGGCCCTGCGTGGCGGTGCTGGGGTGGAGGTCGAAGCACTAGGGAGTGGAGGGCGGTGGGTAAAGGCGTGCCGAGGCCGCCTCGCAGGGGACAGGTGGGGTAAGTGCGTGTGTGTGTTGTTAAGAGTGGGAAGAGGGGAGTGTGGTGTAGGCGCTGACGGGGAGAGGACACGAGACCCGAACCACGCAAGGGCGTGACGGCGAGGGCCGCTCGAGTGCTCTACACGCGCGCCAGAGAGCCCTACGCCGCCGCTCCTAAATAAACCGCGCGTCGATATGAACGTCCCCATCAGCTGCAGCCATTTGCGCGCGCAGCCTAGAGCGAGAGGGGAGTACACAACTTTGTGTCTGGGACCCTTTTTTCATTTGAACTTCTTATCCCCACTTGACGTACTTATTTGTAGTAAAGTAAATACATCATGCCATAGGTAGGTTGAAATAATTAATGGTTCAATTAATAGGTATAATATATTTTATATCCAATCATTTAGATGTCTGCAGATGACTTGTAGAGCCTCTTTCCCTATCGTCGTATACCAAATCTCAAGATAGGTTCGGAACATGCATGTGGAAATGAAATATAGTTGAAAGACAATATATCCCCTTTCAATTTCTTAAGGAGGCCATGAACCCCTTGCCTCCCCCTGTGGGTACGCCTATTTGTGCAGCCCCTGCGTATTTTTCTTTTGAGTATTTTCTTTTAATGTGTTAGGCGTAAAGTTAGCAAAATATGTTAATACTGGTCCACTGCAAACGCAACTAGTACTACAACTAAACACGACCAACGTTTTTCGCTTAATATATCAAATTTTACGAAGACAAACTGTCATCAACATTTCTTTCGTGAGCAAATTCAACATTTTAAATTTCTCTGTAATGCGGTTACATGAGATCTCGACATTTTGTGAAATATTTTGTGCATATCAATGGGGGAAAATATTACTAAGATTTGGATATACGCATACATACATAAGTGGTTTACGAGCTGACGATGAACTGTTTACAAACATGCATACATTTTATGTTTTTGCTTTCACTCATTTATAACACCATAGCAATGAATTCGATAACAATTGCGACGAACCTAGAGTTTTTAATTTGATAATACGTATGACATTGTTTCAATTTTTGCATAAGTAAGAATTTTAAGTTAACAATTTTTATGAACATTAATGTATAATGTGAAACATTCCAAAATCCTATTCCAGTTGATTTGGCTTGGAGCAAGAACTGTTGCCACTGTAGTGACTCGGACCGGGAGTTCTTTTAGAATTAAACTCGAATTAAACCGCTGTTTGGAGGAGAATTCAGGCGGCTGGCTGCTCTGGACGGTAGTTTCTCATGATTTCTCCAAATCAGTAAAAACAGTGAATGCCAGAGAAGAATCCTAAGAAAAATATCCATGTACCTTTCGTGATACGTCCTTCTTTTTAACTTCTCCTTTTCTCTCTCCTTACACGCATCATATTTACACGCAATATGAACTGCTCGTACGGATCATATATGGCTCGTACACTACCGGGAACTTTGAGCTCAGCCCATCTTGAGCGGTGCTTTATTGGAGGAGGAGATACCTGGAAGGTGAAACACCCCGCATTCCGACGTGTAGATCTTAGCCGGATCTCATCATCCAGTGGGAGAGAGACATAGCTACATCTCGCAATGTTCCATACACTACACTTAAAGGACTAATGATCTTAGTAGTTGACGTGCACATAAACACAAAGTAAATCGCTCAATCAAAATACTTCTTTAATGTGTTGGTTTCACTGCCGCATATCTTATTACTTTTCATGTAGTAGGTCTAAAATAGAAGGATTAAGATGCAATGTGTTATTTAATGTGTACATACCCGAATCTTCCTCTTTAGACCCTGACATTTTCGTCGTTATCTAGTTCAAACCCCTTTACGGCGTAGAGTAGCATTTTCAATAGTTATATAACTTTTCTAATACTGTAGTCAATTTATAAACGGCATTTTATTTCCGTGTTTCAGGAGAATATATTAAAGTGTAAATGTAGATTTAAAACTCATGTTGTATCCTCTGCATTCATTGATTCAACACTTTTGTTTATTAGATAGTTGTGAGTGTAAAAATACTTATTTATTTGTGTTAAATATCTACAGGAAGTAAAGAAGTAGGCAAATATTTTAAGACGAGGAGAAAGCGCTCCCTTGTAACAGCACTTTGGCCCCTTGTCCCTCCAAACTCGCCTCAACGGCTTTGCTTGCGTTCGTGCCCCTGACGTGTGCCGTTTCTGTTGCAGAGCGCCAAGAAGTGCCCCAGCATGCACCGGGAGATGTACTACAAAGGTGAGTGGCATCGCGTTGGGAATCCGG